AGAAGGGGGGTAGGGGTTACCCCAGGGGACTTCCCCTAAATTTCATTTGATTTGTTTTATTGTCCCATACAAGAATATTTATGGTTTAGGGGTGGGGATCTCGACCGTTTACAAGTTTTCAAAAAAAAGGGGGGTGGGGGTTACCCCCGTGGACTTCCCCTATATTTCATTTGATTTGTTTTATTGTCCCATACAAGAATATATATGGTTTAGGGGTGGGGATCTCGACCGTTTACAAGTTCTCAAACAGGAGGGGGGTGTGGGTGACTCCAGGGGACTTGCCTTTTATTTCATTTGATTTGTTTTATTGTCCCATACAAGAATATATATGGTTTCAGGGTGGGGATCTTGACCGTTAACAAGTTTTCAAAAAGAAGGGGGGTGGGGCTGAACCCGGGGACTCCCCCAATATTTCATTTGATTTGTTTTATTGTCCCATACAAGAATATATATAGTTTAGGGCTGGGGATCTCAACCGTTTACAAGATTAAAGAACCTTAGTGAGCGCGCTCACATACCCCACGTCCCCACATTGTCATTGGAGAAATAAAATAAGTGTAAGAAAAAAAAATTGTATCAGAAAAAAAAATTGAATCATAATTTCCTGTCAATATGCACATCTACATAGTATGTCCTTATTATCTACACAGTTTCATGAAATTCTGTTGTGTGGTTTGAGAGGAGTTGCGATGACAAAAGGTTGCAGTAGTATATTGGGCAAATAAGTTTAAAGGGGCGTAACTCCTGGAAAAAAGATTGAATCGTAATTTCCTGTCGATATGCACACCTACGTAGTTTGTCCTTATTATCTGAAAAGGTTTCATGAAATTCTGTTGTGTGGTTTGAGAGGAGTTGCGATGACAAAAAGTTGCAGTAGTATATTGGGCAAATAAGTTCAAAGGGGCCTCACTCCTGGAAAAAAGATTGAATCGTAATTTCCTGTCGATATGCACATCTACGTAGTTTGTCCTTATTATCTGAAAAGGTTTCATGAAATTCTGTTGTGTGGTTTGAGAGGAGTTGCGATGACAAAAGGTTGCAGTAGTATATTGGGCAAATAAGTTCAAAGGGGCGTAACTCCTGGAAAAAAAATTGAATCGTAATTTCCTGTCGACATGCACATCTACGTAGTATGTCCTTATTATCTGAAAAGGTTTCATGAAATTCTGTTGTGTGGTTTGAGAGGAGTTGCGATGACAAAAGGTTGCAGTAGTATATTGGGCAAATAAGTTCAAAGGGGCGTAACTCCTGGGAAAAAAAATGAATTGTAATTCCCTGTCGATATGCACATCTACGTAGTATGTCCTTATTATCTGAAAAGGTTTCATGAAATTCTGTTGTGTGGTTTGAGAGGAGTTGCGATGACAAACTGTTGCAGTAGTACATTAAAGTAAATAAGTTCAAAGGGGCGTAACTCCTAGAAAAAGAATTGAATCGTAATTTCCTGTCGATATGCACAACTACATAGTATGTCCTTATTATCTAAAAAGGTTTCGTGAAATTCTGTTGTGTGGTTGAGAGGAGTTGCGATGACAAGAAACAGGATTGACGGACTGACGGACAGACTGACGGACGGACGGACAGACGGACGGACTGGTCAAAAACATTATACCCTCCGCAACTCGTTGCGTGGGGTATAATAAAAGCACATTCTCAAATTGAAGGGGGGTGGGGGTAAGAATATATATGGTTTAGGGAGATTTAATTATCTACAAAATGTCTAATAATGAAGAGTAAATTTTAAACCTCATTTATACAGTCCTACTAGTAAATTTCAAACTTTATATATACAGTCCTACAGATCTTATCAGGAAACAGAAAATTTTCAAATAAATCTGTCACTCCAATTTTTATTGTGAGATAAGACATTTACTATACGCTTAGTCATAATATGATAACAAGAGAAAATTATTTAAAAATACCACTTTTGGATATTAAAAATGGTGATAACTTAAAAAGGGGAAATACTAAAATCGTGAAAATTGAACTTGACCTTCGTTTAGTCACAAGAAACAACATATCTAAATTTGAAAAAAAATCATCACAGCGTTTTCTTGTTATTGAAGAGACACTGTTTGGCAGCCGCCCGTCCACCTGCTTGTCAGCCCGCATGACCACCGTACATCCCCAAATCAATAACCGATATTTCCTTCGAAAATCCGGTTAAAAATCTTTGAGATTCATATAGTTTGAAATATACAAAAACCTGGTAATAAATTGTTCAAATAAGGCCTTTGAAAATAGTGGAATTAAATACTTTTGGAGTGTCAAAAATTCGTTGGAAGTACTTGATAAATTACATGCTTATATTGGTGATTTCGAATCTGTTCAAAGTTTTGATTTTTCTACCCTGTATACTACTTTGCCTCATAATCTTATTAAGAAAAAATTCACACACCTAATTAAATGGGCATTTAAAAGTCAGAATGCCAATATATATAGATAAAAAAAGATGTGGTGCATGTATGAGTGCCAATGAGACAACTCTCCATCCAAGTTACAATTTATAAAAGTATGTTCATTAAATTCTTTTAGGTCTTTTTTTAGTAACAACTAACAAAAGAACTATGTCAATTGGACCTGCTTTGATACTATAACTGCCCTTGAATTTTTACTAGATAACATTTTTGTTCGCTATGGAGATTCCATATATCGTCAAGTTATCGGAATTCCAATGGGGACTAATTGTGCACCACTTATTGCGGACTTGTTTCTGTATTGTTATGAGTTACAATTTATGACTTAAATCAGCAAAGACTCATCGAAACAACATCTGATACAAAAATTTAATAGCACTTTTAGATATTTGGATGATATATTGGCTCTCAATAATGATGACTTCAGTATTTACACTAAAGAGATTTATCCTGCTGAACTGACTTTAAATAAAGCTAATACTAACAATGAACACTGCCCTTTCCTGGATCTTGATATCTATATCTTTAACGGAAAGCTTAATACCAAAATTTATGATAAAAGAGATGATTTTTCATTTCCTATTGTTAATTATCCATTTTTAGATGGTGACGTTCCCTTGTCACCATCTTATGGTGTTTATATATCTCAACTTGTTCGATTCGCTCGTGTATGTAACAACGATTTGATTTTAACGAAAGAAATCTCTGTATTACGTAAAAATTACACCAGGGTTTTCAATATCACAAACTAGTCAAAACATTTACTAAATTTTATCATCGGTACAAGGACATCAACCGTAAATATAAATCAACATGCAGACATCTTATACGTTCAGGTATTTCACATCCAATATTTTATGGTAATACTCTTTACAAAGCACAAAAATGTCGCCATTCACCTCAAAAGCTTACCAAACCTTTAAACAGACTTATTCAGAAGGGATATAGTTACGATACTGTTGTCAGGTCATTAAAGATGGCATATTTTGATATTAATATTGATTCACTAATAGGGTCTTTGCATCAGAAATAAACACATTTATTCTAAAACCAGTTGTTGGCATGATACGGGTTATGTTCTTCTCATATATTTTATGATGGTATGATACTAAACCCCTTACGGGAGGGATTGTGCTTGATTTTCATATGATGAAGACATAATCTTTCAATCAGTTTAATTGAGGTCTGGAGCTGGCATGTCAGTGACTGCTAGTAGTCCTTTGTTAATTTATGTATCATTGTCATTTTACTAAGTTTCTTTTTTTATCTATTCTGACATCGAACTCAGACTTTGTTTAAACTGAGTTTTACTGTGCGTATTGCTGTGTGTTATGTTTTTTCTACACTGGCTAGAGGTATGGGGGAGGGTTGAGATCTCACAAAACATGTTTAACCCCGCCGCATTTTTGCACCTGTCCCAAGTCAGGAGCCTCTGGCCTTTGTTAACCTAGTATGATTTTTAATTTTAGTTCATTTATATGTTTTGGAGTTTAGTATGATGTCCATTTTCACTGAACTAGTGCACATTGCTGTTTAGGGGCCAGCTGAAGCCCGCCTCCGTGTGCGGGATTTTCTCGCTGTGTTGAAGACCCATTGGTGGCCTTCGGCTGTTTTCTGATCTTTGGCCGGGTTGTTGTCTCTTTGACACATTCCTCATTTCCATTCTCAATTTTATGTACCGGTATCATGTGTACATGGCATACACATAACCTATTTCAGATTTTCAAGGAGAGCCAATTTTTTTTATCATTTTTCATTTGGCAGAGTTGTTTATAATGTAAATAATGCACTGTCAAAATTCTAATACATTATTATCAAACAAAACAACCACAATGGGTCACAAATCCATTGTCCCCAAAATATGATGTATTCAGAAGAAATTAACAGTGGCCATTTTTTCTTTTGGCAGCTGGGGGCTTTCAACTATAATTCTTCATTGGGATCATAAACATCCTACACTGCTTTACATTCTACTCGCCACTGTATCGGGTAATTATATTTATCCGGTGTATCCAACCTTGAAGTTTTAATTGCAAACCCATCAAGTATTGGCTGGGAGGTAAAGAAGTAGCAGTGTTGTGCCTATTACAAAAGAGGTTATTTGTTCTGCATGGCTTTATATTCAACTCAACCACTGTATCTGGAACATTGGGTGTATCCAACCTCGATAAGTAGGTTCAAGCTGATATGAATCAAGTGTTGGCAGGGAGGCAGAGAAAAAGCTTTGTTGTGGGTGTTGTAGAGGGTATTAACGGAGTGGGTTTATTGGATCCTCAGATACCGGGTATTAACAGATTAATGTATCATTACTCAAAGATTTTGTAGCAATTTTTATATTGTCTTTTCTTAAACTAATTTCACCTGTTATAAAGAAGTGTGAGAGAGGATTAAATACTATTTTTAAGCTAGACATGATTGTGTAAAGTTTGATTTGAAAACTTCCAGTGGTTTTAGAAAAGATCTGTATTTTTATTGATATTAATGAAAGATAGACAGAACTAAGTAATGACTTTTTCCTATGTGGTCATTTCAGGCAATGAGCTCTAGAATGACCTCATTACATGTTTATTTTAAATGTCTTACTTGTGTGGTTGTTTTTTATAAGCTCATTATCCTGTTTCTTTATTCTTGATGAATTAAATGCTACTGGCTTTGGGGCTTTACTTCTTGGGTTTGGTGTGTCAAATGGTGATTCACGTGGATCATCTGTCACCCATTTGCTGTGATTTGATCTTGCTGGGCTTGTTGTTTTTGGTCTAGCTGGGCTGGTACTTTTTGTTCTACTTGAACTCTGGTCAAAATCTTTTTTTGGCCTAAAACTGGATATTCCCTGTTTTCTGTATATGACAGGAGTATGCAGATGTGTCTCTGGAGATGCTCCTCCTCTTTTAGGTGCACTTCTGGTCATCAACAACATTTTTGCCTGAAATCAAAGTAAGAAAAGTTTCTCACTTGCATTTCTGTTTCAGTTTCATAGAACTAGAGACACTATCGAGTCTGTATCACTCACCTGGAAATAAGCTTCAGTTTTGTGACTTATGTGTATATCTTTCCTCGATGATAATGTTTGCTATTTACAGTTTCTGTCTATTCACAATAGTTTAATAAAAGATAAAAGGTTAAACAAAAAACATGTTAAAATTGGTAAAATGTTGTAATTTATGGGCAAAATCTCCTATTAGGAGTCCACTGTTGGTCTATTTTTGGAGATCTTATATAGCTGATCAATTTTTCTGTTTACACTTTCTGTTTATTGCTTGTTGTGAAAATGATATGGTATCTGGATGTATCATGATCTCAAACTTCAATATCATTTGCTAGGTATTATCTAGGTATGCACAATGTGTGCTCTTGCATGCCGATTCTTGTGAAGCATATTTTGTTTTTTCTTACATTTATATATCAATGGTTTCATTAGAATTAAGCTTTGTTCATATATCTTTTCTATTTCTTCTTGTAATTTGTCTATTTTTTTACATAAAGACAGATAAATACATTAAGATTGATTACATGTGTACAGTTTCAAGTATGGTCTATAAAATATTTCCTTTAAAGTCTATTATATTACATCAACTCTAAGTAACAATACAAAAAAATGATATAAATATAATTGTTTTATCAGTTATGCAATATTTAAAACACCGAGGACAGTTTCTTATGGCAACCATTTTTCATATATGTATATATTCTTTTTGTATTGAGGATAAATAATTAACCATATTGTTGCTCTATTCTTATACAATATTCAAGATATTCAGTACTACCTTTCACTGAAGATTTTTCTCCTGAATTTTTACAGCTATAAACATAATATTTCAAAATCAACATTATATGTTTAACTGTATTATATGTGTCAAAAATTTTCCACCATACCAAAAATAACATCCCTTACATATGTCTGTTTCAGTGTAAATCATCAATTTTATAATAAGTTTGGAAGTGCAATCCAAATATTTCTACTGTATACACATTCCCAAAAAAATTGCAATAATCTTTCTTTCGATTCAGTGCAAAAAGTGCAAATTTCTGTTTCTGTTAAACCATATTTTTAAAGAAAAGAGTTTGAACCTAAACTTCTGTGTTATAGCGAAAATTTTGAAGATGTGTGTTTTTAGTTGCTAGAAAAGCAGTGGAGTAGATTTCCCCCTATCATCAATTTCAACACATTTTAACCATTTGTTTTATGACTTGAAACAGTTTTCTTTAATATTTTCTAGAAAAAGTCGATAAAAATATTTACATTTTTTTTTTCATATCAATTCTGAGTTTTTCTACAATATAATTTTTAATAATATCTAATCTAACTTGTTCTGATATAATTTTTTTCCAGCTAACTGGGATTGCACTAACAAGACCATAATATTCAACAAAACTGGTATTATCTGTATACTGAGATTGAAACTGTTCAAATGTCAGTTTGTTTTTTCCATTTGAGATTAGATCATTTATAAATAAAATGCTCCGCTAGGCGCAAGCTTGATATGACTGCAGAGGTTGAAACCTGAACAGTTGAGGCAAGTATGGACACAACATTAGAGCTTAAAACAGCTCTACATTTGGATTGTGATTGAATATTTGACACAGCATGGGTTTGTGACACAAAATAAATGTGGTCAAAGAATACCTATTATGGTCCAATATCCAAAATCTAAGTACATGGTTAGAATCAGCATATCAAAGAACCCCAAGAATTCAATTTTTGATGAAATCAAACAAAAGTTTAATTTAGGACTCTTTTGACCTCAATGTGGACCAATTTGATTAAGGAGCCCAAAATCCAAAATCTAAATACATGGATTGATTCAGCATTTCAAAGAATCCCATAAATTCAATGTTTGTTGATTTCAAACACAGTTTAAAGGGAAACTCTGCATAAAAAAATGAAAAATTGATATTTTGTTCTTTAAGCATAATAAATCACGTGTTCATAAATAAAAAAAATTTATTCTCTTTGTAAAGATATCAAAATCGATTTTTGAAATTGACTATCAGTTCTCGACATGCCGCCACTTTGTCGGCATCCCTGATCTAAAAACTCTCGAGATATCTATAAACCACAAAGTACCAAAAGAATCGGGGATTTACCGACCGTGCGTCAAAAACTCCCATCATCAATCGCTGATTACCGTAGTCCTCATTCAGTGTCAAAATGTCTTGTCATATATAAGATAATTCCATATTTAGACAAGATAATTTTTTTAATTAATAAAGTTATACGTCGGATGAATAACATTCTTTTTATTATGATAATTAACAGCTAATGACAAGGAGCAGTGTTAGGTAGAGGTTTAAGCTGGGACATAACATGTTGATATAGTATAATATTCCCAGGTTATAGATATGTAAATGTCGGAATATCGGACATCTCAACTTTTATCATATATGGTGTGTTTTATTAAGTGTTTTTTTTAACTAAGCTTTATATGATATCAAATTGATACGGGATCAGTTCAGAACGGTCACTTATAAAGATGCTTTACAGGTTTTAATTCTGTTTAACGTGTGACCCTATCTGGTATGTTCGATGTAAAATTAATAGGTTTTTTTTCTTTTAAAATTTTATTTACGTTATCTTTTTATAAATGTTTTGGCTTCCTCCCAATTGATAATCGGCATGTCAGACTAAATAAATTATTGATTGAGGTCGTGTCAAAGCGACACATTCAGGTAGGTATTCCATGGCCAGTGACATCCTGTCGACTAAAAATTCGTATTACACAATTACATAATACAGGTCCATGCATGGCCTCTCTATTGAGGTACCCGGCAGTGTGTTATTGAACCATAAAACTATCAGCTGTAATATACATCATGTGCACAATTTATATATTTGTGTCTGAAAAGGCATAATGAATGTTGTTGATCGTGTGCGTGATTGAAATTATAAATTCCACCTGTTAATGAATGATATTCTGATATTAATTATCCATTATTTTTTGCTGATAATAAGTAAAAAACAAAATTATAGACATGACCTTTAAAAATTGTCGATTGGCAAACATGCAGATATAAAGTAATGCAGCACTTATCGTCACTATCGAAGATTAGAGAGCACCTTCCATGTGTAATGTCCCTATCTTTATAAGGATTATGACGACAGGGGAAATAGTCATTGTAAAGGAGCGGAGATAAAGTGTGGCATAGTGAAAAAAAATAAATTAACCGAATAGAGAACAATATAGAGAATGTGCGACGAAAGGGGAAATAGTGATTGTAAGGAAGCGGAGATAAAGAGAGGCATTGTGAAAAAAAAATGTTTGCTTTACAAAGTTATTTCTCGATTATATATTTTTTGTTATACAAAATCAAACATCGTGTACCTAATTGGTGTTCACGTGCACTAAACTTGATGTGTTAAGTTTCTGCATAGCAAAATAATTATGTATCTCATTTGTTATATCGTAGTTTCACTGTGTTTCTTTGTTAAATTTATTTAGTTTGTTATTGATTGTGTAAATAAGAATAAATCTGTATGAAAACTTCAAACTCGTTTAGTTATTGCCTAGGAGTTTGATTAGTGTTACATTAAAGATATATATATATATATATATATATATATATATATATAGAACCTTTCATACTTCTTAAAGTAAAAGATGTGTGTCGGAGTCAAATGACATGAGAACCCTGTAATACTTGTACGAGTATAGCTTGTAAAAATTCCTACTCAATATGGTTGTATTGGAAAAAAAAATCATGACGCTCATATTTCTTTATACTAGTCTCATCTGATTCATCAAATATTGCTGTTAACAAATATTAGGAGTTATATACAATCAGAGCTTCTCCGTGGTATACACCTGTGAAATATATATATATACGAACTTCGGTATTGAATCTACATCTCACAAACATTATTTTTGAATTACGATTTTGAGTGAACTTCCACCAAACCAATAAAAACATATGGCAAGATATAACCATGCAGGCATTTAGTTTTCGTCAGGCACAAGATAAATAATCACTCTCATAAACGTACATGCATGCTGTTTGTAATATCAAGAATTAGAGGTCGATGTCTGTAGATCATTGTTAAGTCCGTCAGTTACTCCGGGAACAGTATATATATATATAAAGTAAACTTATACTAGGAAAGGCTTGTTTCAAGAACAACGAGGTTGAGACGAAAATTGTCAATATCAGAAATACATTACTAAGCTATGCCTTTAATTACTACTATTACTAGTTTGGATTAATGACGGCTACCTTGTAAAGCATTGCACTAAATTATCATAGAATATAAAAATGGTTATATTTAATTTTCATGTTTTCAAACTTAAAGACATTTATAACACCTCATAAAAAAAGGATTATAAGAAAACGAATAAGCGAGTAAAAGTTCATTTGTTGGGAAATTAGTCTCCTTTGATCTCGAATTAACTTGTAAAAAATCATCATACAAAATAAATAATTAATTTATTAGCTTAGATTTATAATGAATGTGAATCCATTAATGAAATAAATGATAATTGTCATTCTTTTCACAAATAATTCGTCTAAGATTTAAATACAAGTTAAAGAATTCCGGTAAAGTAAATTAAACCGATGTGCAATGGTATCTCTCTATTAAATTGGGAAAATATAACATTATTTTTTTAAGATTAAAAGTACTATTCTTTTAACTTCATATTTGAATCTTTATGCTAATTGCATAGAACGTAATCAAAAATTGTTTCATTTTAATTTTATACACTTCCGGAATTAAAAAGTTGAATGTTATTTTCAAATAATTTATACAATTTTATTATTGTATCTCTATTGTCATCGGGTATTCGATCTTGGTGCATTAAACACGCCATACTCTTTCTGTTAATCCATTCAAAATGACAACATACACACCTGTGTACGCTTGAATTCACACCTGTGTACGGCATGAGGCTAAATTGCTCCAAGGTAAAGTTCAAACGAATTGTCCTCAAATCG